CTGCCAAACACTAATCAATGAATTTTTGTGCTAAGTTTATATTTAAGATGTCAACACAGCTCATTGAAAATAAAAATATCTGTAGCACTCAACTTTAGTTAGTTAAAATTTCGTGTGGTATAGCTGCGAGACACACACATTACAAATTATAGTCCTAAGCACAAAATGTTTGTTTAAAAATTTGCTGTTACTTATTCTGAGTCTCTGTCTGCCTGCTAGCAAAATAATTCACAATTCATTGAATGGATTTAAGCTTTCAGGAAACATTTAATGAGTTTAGTGTCCCGATACAGATACTGGAATCAGTATGTGGGCCAGATACCAGCAATTTTACAAGTACTTGTACAAATGTATTCAACTGATACAGATACTGTTGATACTGATATGCTGTTATTGATACTCCATTGAATATTTCAAGGGGAAATGTCCTGATACATCTCAGTAATCCGGGTAAAAAAAATACATAAAAAATTAAGTAGGTCCCCTGTACAGGGTCTTCTTTAATGAAATGTTTTGTCTCTCCTCCAACTTCTTCAATCTGAGGAGTTTCAGGTGAACTCAGCCTAACTGCTTTCACATGGTGGACAATGCTGTTAAATATTGTAAAATATTTCAACAGTATACTGTATTTCACGCTGTATAATTTCTTCGAGGGGCTGTAAGTCTATAAGGAAGGAGAGACACCTTGTTCTAAATAAAAGAAATGTGTTTTAAAACGATTTCATTTTGACCATTTTTTAACCATTGTTTAATGTTTTAAGTTCTAGCTCAGTAAGTACTTATACCTAATCTAAATTACTTGTTTCGGATTGCGAAAAACTGGTACTGGGACACCCCTATGTTGGGCTTTTAGGTTTCCAGGGAATGAATTCATGTTCTGTTGCTGTTATTATGTCTTGTCACTAGAGGGCGCTGCTAAGACAGCACAGGGCTGAAAAGAGGAAAATAAAGACGAGCCCTGTCAGACTAAAATGTTTCAGACAACTTATGAAAATTTTAAAGACATCTACGTTGAAGATCGATCTTTAAATATCAACTGGTCTGTTAGGCGTGTACTAATGCTAACAATTTGGTTTTAGTTTAGAATTTTAGTTTAGAATTTAGACATAAAAAATTCACATGTTGGTATAAGTTGTCTGTAGTGTGACAGGAGCTTTAGATACACAGGAGAAAGTGCTACAAAAATCTACAAATGATTAACTTTAGAGCTTGTTAAATTCAAGATGGCTGACGACCAATTGTTTTTTTCTTTTAGCTGTTCCCTAGTGATGAACTCACATGAAAGGTTTGGTCATTGTTTTACACCAGATGTCTGTTGTTATAGCTGTAGAAAATGATCAAAACAAAGGATCACTTAAGGCTTCACCTGGTTACCTTTACTTACTTAACTTTACTGAAGAAGTTAATTATTTCCCAAAGGTTTTTAATATTAAAATGTCACGTTGTTCCTCTAAACATCCCTGGACTAAAAAAATACATAAAAAATTATTAAAATTGTAGCAGTCCTTGAAGAAATACA